TGGTTACCACGGTTTACCACGGTCCATTCTCACCTTTTGACAATAAAATGTGCAAAATTTAGGCAAAATACTGTAAAAATACGATTTTTTGACCATAATGGCCGTGTTAGACCACGATGGCCGACCATGATGGTGCCTATGTTCACCGCCCGGCCGAGACCTTTCCAACGGTATAACTTTTATCCGGATCGGTTGAGGCGTTTGGACGCCAACCCGGAACACACAGACAGACATACATACATTCGCTTTTATATATATAGATTAGTTTCATATTTGGAGCGAAAACAATAGTTTTATCACTACCAGCTGAAAAAGTCTGCTATTTTCATGCAATTCTGGTTTCATCGTTCTTTTCTCACCCCCCTCTCTCTCTCTGCTTCTCTCTTGTTTCTCTGTTCAATTCGCTTGTGACATGAACTTCGAATCATTTTTTACCTTTTGTGTGATCGTCTTTGGTTTAGCAAGTACGGGGAGCGGAACGAGTGTGACCTTTGATTGATTTTTATTCGGGCCTCTGGTGCTGGGCTTGAACATTTCCTCGATTGGTTTAATAGCACGGTGATTTTTCCATTGATGTGACCGTAAATGTATTTTTGAGATACCATCAGCATTACAAATAGTGCATTTGTACGTTGGTTGTGTATTGCTAACAACTGAACTTGTTTGCTGTGTGACCGTATTGATATCCTTGGAAGTAGACAACATTTTTGTCAAAATTATTTTTTTTTTTTATATATATATTTAAATATGTGGAGAATGATCTCACAAAACAAGAAGAAGATAGATTTGTTACCTCTTCATTGCCTTCCTTCACACTGACATCAACCAGGTGGGACTTGCGATATGGCTTGGCATCAGTCTCCGATATCAAAGGCTGCAAACAAAAAATTCACAATTATTTACCGAACGATCGGATGCATGGATTGGTTTTACCTTTTGTTTGGCCGAATTTTGTTCACTACTAACATCAACCAAAACGGGTCTGAGATTTGGGGTGGAATCGATCGACTTTAAAAAATTGAGACAAAAAAAGAGTTCTACTTTCCGGTCAAATAACAAACAATTGGTTAAAACTTACCTTTTGCTCATTCGTCGCCGTTTCAACAGCATTCGTGGTGGTATTCTTGTTCTGTACGGATTCAGTCAATTTCTGTCCCTCATCAATGATGCCTCCCGAAACTTCCTTTTGATTGCCACCAACGCCACATGAATGTAATTTCCATTTCCGTGAATGGGTTCTCATTAAATGATTTTTAAAATCTTCGCTATTCACAACTTTATCACAAATCGAGCATTTATTATATGCTCTAGCACCAATAAATTGAAAGATATCTTCGCCCATTGGAATATCGTTGTGATTCATTGAATGATGTTCTTCCAAATCGTCTTCGCAAATTGCATAACATCCGCAAATTTTACATCCATACATTTTTGTGTTCAATTGAAATTGTTGGCCGCCATTTGGTTGCACGTCGGCTTGATTGGTGTGTTTAAAACGATAACGTTTGTACGCTTGCTTCTGTGAAAGATTCTTTGATTCTTTACATGCATCACAAATGCTTTGATCCAATGGCTGATTGTAATTCTCTTTGATATGAGGGGCACGGCAAATACGACATCGGAGCATTGTCAAGTGAATCAACTCGTAATTTTGATTCGATGCGACTTTTGTCGACACCATCTTCATGCTTTCCGATTGTGTGTCCGGGTGTTGCTTATCTTTGGCTTGTTCAATACTCTCCAGACTTTGATTGGATGAGCCAGATATTGATCGCATTCTTTTGCTATGCGCTGAACTTGTAACTTGTGTGTGTTTAAATATATTTTCATCTTTTGAGATATTTACATGACGCTTCAGATGATGGTTGTCACGGTGTAGTGCCATGATATTGGACGCATTACATACAGTACATGTAAATACTTGCATAGCACTCGGGTCCGGATCAGCATCGACCGGTTCCATAAAGTTATCCGTGCTAAGAGCTTCCATTTGATTTCAGGAAATGTTCAAACACTGCTTCAGTTTTTTTTATAAACATACAACAATTTTATTTAAGTCACATGTAAGGCTCTTGTATTGCTTCTTATAGCTGCGCAAATATCATCACAATAAGAAGTGCTTATGACGTTTGGTGCACATTTGACATCGATGCTTTTGACATTTCCAGTGAGTTCAACGTGAAATGCTGTTGAAGTGTTTTCTGATTTGAAATACACAATGAATCCTTTTTATTTTTTAAGGGGTTTTTGTATTTGAATGCTTTTCCAAATGATTTGATGACTAAACATTATCCAGTGAATGACTTTTTAACGCAAATTTAAATGGATCGAATTGAAGAAAAATTACAATGCGTCATATCAATTAACATTCTGTGCAAGATTTCATGTCATTACAACATCAAACAGGCGTACAATACAAAAATCCATATTTTTGGTGATTTTTTCATGGAAAATTATTTGTATTGCAAAATTAGCGCCAGATACAGAGGTCATATTGAAGGATATTCTGACAATTAGGAGGCCAAAACTGTTCCTTTAATTAGCCGTTCTTTTGAAAAGAAAAGTCCACGTTAGCGTGTAATTGAACGCTTTAGAATAAAAACAACGTACAGAAACAACAAATCTATGTTAAAAAAACGCCGTGTTCCGCTTTAACATAACAAACATTCTGTACGTTGTTTTTATTCTAGAGCGTTCAATTAGCATTTAGACCGGAGCGTCCTTCACATCGATATCATATTTTTATGCACATTTTATTGTTTTCATTCAGTTGCTATGGTTCTGAAAAATGTACTTATTCTTAGATTTTTGAAAGGTCGAAATGCAAGTAAATCATATATGAGTTAGCCATATCTATTTCTGGCCTCAAACCTCCACAATGGTGTGATAGGCTCGAGAATGTATTTTACTTTTCCGCACACCTAGTGTAGGGAAGGTATTGTATTAGGCCAAAAAATTAAAGTCATCCCAAAACATGTTTTCTATGCATATTTCATGTAGAAAACACGATTGGAGATGATTTTGGGGCATATTAATGTGCGTCGCTGTGTGTGATGTGTCCTGTGTCCTGTGACCTGTGTCCTGTGCAGTGACCGGTTCGCGCATATTTCTATGCCTGATAGCTATGCTAAGCATAGCGGAGAGGCAAGCCGCAACTCACCCGTCGCCATTCGATTTGAGCTATATTGTATGCGCACGGTCGTCTGCATAAACGAACATGTGCATTGTTCATATAGAGTGAACGGCGATGCGTCGGTTGCGTTTGCGGCTATGCTTGGCATATCTATGCTACCTAGCGTATTTAGGCAAGCTTAGAAATATGCGCGAACCGGTCACTGGTCCTGTGGCGTGTTGCCAAAATTTGTTAACTCGATAAATCTTTTTCCAAAAACTCAATTCAAATTCTGACTTTGCAGGATGATTTGGGACTACTAGGAGACGTGCTGATTAGTTTTTGAGCAATATCTGTTGACCGGTGTAATTTTTTTGGTCCGAATGGAGTACCCAAATCCATACATTTTACATTTTTGATCATTTTTCAACCATTTTGGTGACACGATGGTTTCGTGCCCAGACATGAAATTCAAAATCTGACTTTACGGGATGATTGGGCACTATGAGGAATAGATCTGGTCAAATTTTCAACGACATTGATCGATCGGTGTAAAACTTAGACTCTCAAGAAGCACTTATGAGAAAAATGCCTTAAAATGATATTCTTTCAATTTGAACGCTGAAAGACTGTGTAGTGGGGTTTTTTTGGAACGAAAAACCCGAATCTGATGTTAGTTTTAAGATGCAATCAATTTTTCACAGACTTTTCATACAAAAATCCACAAAAAATTTCATTTTTGTATGAAAGACCTGCCTTTGTGGTACCGTAATGATGTGAAACTTTGAA